GGGGGATAAAAAAAAAAAAAAAAGAAAAGAGGGGAGAAAATATTTAACGAAACGTGAGGATAGATTAAATTGCACGCGTCTTTTCGGGTTTTAGCGACGGTAGCGCGGAGATGAGAGAAAGATGAGAGAGAGAGAAAGAAAGAGAGAGAGAGAACGAGAGAGAGAGAGAGAGAGAGAGAAAGACAGAGAGAGAGAGAGAGAGAGAAAGACAGAGAGACAGAGAAAAAAAAGAGAAAAGAGAAACGGGAAGAAGGATGAGAGAGAACAGAGAGAAATTTTCCAAAACATATCTTCGAAACGAGAAGTATACCGTGAAAATACGATTTTAGATTTAGGTGTCTTCCTAAAGATGGAAGTTTTTAAAATAATTACGTATACATTTGTAGTTGAGATAAAGGGGAAGAAGTTTTTCCACGGCCGGTCAAACCATAATGTGGAAAAGAAAAAGAAAATGAAACGTTCCTTTTTTTCGGGAGGGTGGAGGGGAAGAGAGAAAGGAAGAAAGAGAGAAAAAGAAAGAGAGAGAAAGAAAGAAAAAAAAGAGGCGATTTCGCGAAGGAAAAAATCAGAACAGAAACATCTTTGCTTTCCTAAAATTTCTTTTCGACCACGGGGCAGGGGGAAAAGCTTGAAACGTAATTCGTTAGTGAAAATTATCCTAGTCATTTTGGAAACTTTTTCTATAATTCTGTGATATATATATGTATCGAAACTAGTATCATGAAGTATTCGAAGCTCCAGAATAAAAGAAAGAAGAAAAAAAAAAGAGGGGTGGGTAGGGAAGAACAAGAAACTGGGAGAGGGGATCTAAAAAAGAAAAAAAAAAAAAACGAAAAATAAGAAAAAAATATTACGTTCCACATTATGATTGACGGCGTGTGGGCAAATTGCATATGTAATACATTGATTGGTTGATCGATATCGGGAAATTCTGTGATGTCACTTCAGTTGGGTATACTAGATCGAGAGAAATATTAGAGAATATATGATGAAAAAAAAACAAAAAGTATACGGAATTAGGTCGATGTTCGGTGTTGTGTAAGTTAATATTTGTAAAAGGAGGGAAAGGAGGAAAAAAGCCGAGACTTTTTATGCCGAGAAGATTAATATCGAACGCTGCCGGAGCTTTCACGATCGACGACCGCTGATCCGATGTTTTTTGAAAAAAAAAAAAAAAAAAAAAAA